GAATGACTATGAACGAAGTGAGTACAAATAGGAAACCCTAATTGGGTTGTACCCCCTATGGGATACCCCACTATAGCCTACAGAAACAAGTAAGCTATAAGTTCTGACACTAACAAACGGTTCCAAGTGCGAGTTCTTTCAGGACACGTTAGAGTTTTTGGGGCACGTTTTTTCGGAGGCCGGGGTCGAAATTGACCAAAAAAGTTAGACACAGTGAAAGCCTTGTCAAACATTTTATATGTTCTACTTGTTTAGGCTACAGTGGGTTAGCCTATAGGGGGTACACAATTCTAGGGTTAGGTACTTGTACTGTTTTCACTGTTAGTTCATTCATTCCTGTTCATTCATTTCAACAAGCCTGGCGCCCCGCGACGAATATCATGGAACTGCAGAGTTTTTTGGGGTTCGTAAACTACGTGCGTCGGTTCGTCCCTTACATGGCACGGTGAACGGCGCCGCTGACGGACTTATTACGGAAGGGGGTCGCTTTTACGTGGGGGGAGAAAGAGCATGCTGCCTTCTCTGCCCTGAAAAATGTTCTTTGTTCACCGCCCATCTTGCGCATCGCTGACCCACACCGCCCATTCGAAGTAGTTACCGACGCAAGCGACATCGCCATCATAGCCGTACTGCTACAGGATTTCGGCAACGGCCTACAGCCCATCGCATACGAGTCACGAAAATTGCATCCGCCCGAGAGAAATTACCCGATACACGACCGCGAAATGCTTGCGATCGTGCACGCGTTCAAAGTGTGGCGCTGTTACTTGACCAGCGCGGACGTGACAGTACGGACAGACCATAAATCACAACAGTACCTTCACGCACAGCCGCACCTCAACCCACGACAGATTTGCTGGCTCGATTTTCTCGAGTCCAATTTTCATTACACGGTCACCTATAAAAAAGGAGCCTCAAACATCGCCGACGCACTGACCCGCCCCACTGCCCAGATCCACGCAATACTACTCGCCAAGACCAGTCCCCTACTGACAAGCCTATTCACCCCACGGATACCAAACGGATCCATTCTTCACAGGAGGAAATTCGCAGCAGGGCATCGTGTCCCACTTGCCAGCTCATGTCAAATCATCACGTCATCACGTCAGCGGCCGGCAGGACAGTTGCAGCCGATACCACCCCCAGAGTGTGCTTGGCAGCAGGTGACGATGGACTTCGTCACGGGGTTACCGACCGGGGCGAGTGGGAACGACGCGATCCTGGTCGTCGTTGATCGAGTGACGAAAATGGCACATTTCGCAGCCTGCAAAAAATAAATCACAGCCGAAGAAATAGCACGCCTCTTCATCTCCATCGTCGTTCGACTGCACGGGATGCCAGCAACAATAATCAGCGACCGTGACACGAAATTCACCAGCAACTGTTGGCTGAACCTATGGCAGCAGTTCGGCACGCGACTGCAGTTCAGCTCCTCGTACCACCCTGAAACTGACGGACAGACAAAACGGACAAACCAGACCATGGAGCAACTCATCCGAGCCACGTGCGACGACCCAACCACTTGGGAACAACAGCTGCCACTCATTGAATTCGCATACAACAACTCACCGTCCGCCACGACCCAACAGTCACCGTTTTACCTGAACTACGGACAAGACCCGAAAGTACCCATGACCCCGAATCTCGACAACCCAGTGCCACGAGCACAACAGTTCGCTGAAATATTACAAGAAGCACGGACCCGGGCAGCAGACGCAATAAAAAAATCCAACATCATCGCTAAACGTAATACCGACCGCCACCGCCGACCTGTCACTTACCAACTTGACGACCTAGTTTTACTCGACACTCAGAACCTCCGATTGCCCATCACCCCAAAACTCCGCCCCCGATACTGCGGGCCATTTCGCATAAGCCACATGCTTACACCCGTCACTGCCCACCTCGTCCTCCCCGCTGACTGGTACGCCAGCCCCTCATTCCACGTCAGTCTGCTTCGCTCTTACATCTCGTCCACAAGCCAACTGCCACGCAACCGGCCTACCACCATGACACGACCGCCGACTGAACCAATCGTCAACCCCGAGAAAATCCTGAGCCACAGAGATCGTGACCCTCGAGGAGGCAAAAGGATCGAGTTCGTGATCCGCTGGAAAGACCGTACACCCACCGAAGACAACTGGGTTCCCCTGGACAGAATCGAAAAACACCCCGTCCTCACCGAGTATCTGCGTAGTCGAAACTTCCGGGATGTACACGCACTTTCGTTAAGGAGGACCTCCTTAGGGGGTGGGGGGTTGTGTAAGGAAAATTCCTTTTCCTTACTTCGCGTCCCTGCTCAGGGCGTACACTACTGTGGCACCACAGTCAGCACCGTTACCACTCACAACCATCGCATTGACAATCCTCCCGCCACCTTCGCACGTCGCACCCCGACTTCACGGCTCGGCGGGTAACCCGCGCTCTGGGCCTCCGCTTCGACATTTTCCCAAACCTCAGTCCCAGGCCCGTCGCGCGACAACCACAGTCCATTACCGTTACCACTGTAGTTTCGCTATATATTCTTCGCTCACGCCTACGCTCATTGTACTCTTGCTTCGATAGTGCAATTCTCGCTCGCTCACTCAATTGCACTCGTAACAAAAGGTAAGACATCTCCAGTACGATCACTGTATAGCCCTTCTGCGCTTTACGAGGCAAACTGTACAATACTATACCGCGCAAGATATGCTCTTTGCCTATTGGCTGACACTCCCAGTGTCAGAGCAGGGAAATGCGGGGGCAGAGAAACCCAGATTTTGTGCTGCGTTGCAGCAGAGCAGTCCCCCCCTGCCATTCCCTCCTATGGGTCGGTCGTTTGTTCGTGCAAATTTTCCGTGGCGCCCAATGCCCCCATTCCGAGTCGCAACCACGCCCCGCAGAACAAATTTGTTCTTCCACTACACAGTTCCGTGATGCGCCTAAAAAATCGTAACAGTTTCGTGAGTGTTCAACCACTCATATCGCACAAGCAGCCTGTGCAGCGTTCCCATGTTGACTCCTGCCGTCGTAAGTCACGAGTCGTGGCGTGAGTCAGCAGCTAAGAGCTATCTAGGGCGACGGCTTTCTTGTTAGCTAGGACGGCACGATATGTGGCAATCGGCATTGACAACTGTGCGTAATTACTCGCAAGTCGAACTGTTGGCGTGGAATGTCATGTCATTGCCATCAGTGCCTTGGCCCACGCTTCGTGACGGGTTTGCGTCGATTCCAAATACCGCAAGACGTGCTGTGATGCCATCGTCGGGGCCTTATTCGAGAGATGCAGTTCATGTTGCGACTAACGAGTATTCTCTCACAGAGCATATAGCGACGATTTCGGTCTAGACATGCTCAGCGAGCATCTGAGGCTATTCCCAGATAGGACTGTGAATGTATATGCATTGTTATAGTGCACTTGCGTTCTAAAAAAAAAAAAAAAAAACTGAGGTTATTCCATAGACATGCGCATTGAGCATCTAACGAATGTTCTACGTTGTTAATGACAACTATTAGTGCCCCTGCTGTAACATTCGACTCAAGAAAGAGTTTTTTATTACCAGGCCGAAGCTTAATCCGGGTCGACGGACTTAGGGGGAAAAAGAAGGGGCAGAAGCAGGAGCGAGAGGGGGTAGAGGTAGTTAGGTCTTTCGGTACGTCTCCTTCTGACCGTCGATCGGACGCAAAAGCGCTAAACAGGAAACAACACGATGTTGATTCAGCGAAGTCGCGGCAACGGTAGACGTGATTTTAGAAACAGTCCGATTTTCTCACATTCTCTCGACCTCGATCTTCGTCAAACTCCGTCTACGTCTCCTCCACGCCGCCTCAACCGACGTCGAAGCCCGTTAGCTTTTCCGTCAGGAGCCGCCCTCCTCCTGTCTCTCCTGCTTCTCCACGGCCTCTTTAGCCTCCGTCCCTTCTATCCCTACTCTCCCATATATCCCATCTCTAGCAACCGCCAATCCCGCAACTCCTACTTCGCTGCCGCCGCCGCCTCGTACGACAGCGAACATAACAACGCGACCGCGGTAACATCTTCGTTAGCCCTTTCGCAATCGCTTTCGCCCGAGCCAGTTGCGGGTGAACGGCGACGACTCCCGCATGCTCGCGGGCGCCACATCGGCCGCCGAAACAAAACTAGTAGCGCGATGGAGCACGCGGAGTCGTTTTTTAACATCCAAACAAATGCTTCCGAACACGATGGCCAGGATATTGTCGCGGATAACGTAGCTGATAGTACCGCGGATATCGGCGCGTCCCAATCCACAGCCGTGGTCGCACGGCAGGGGAACAACCGGCGGGAGCGATCTCCCCCGCCAGTGAGAAAAAGCAGCCGCGACGGCGCAAGTGTCAACCGCACTGCGCGAACGCCTCCGCCCGCGCGGAAGTCTCCGCCTGCGCGGAAAGACCTTCCCGCGCGGGGAACTGTCCCCGCACCCCCGCGCCGCGCGGGGGCGCGCAAAAGCGGGGATCCGGCGCAAGCAGGCCGCGCTTCGAATACGACAAGGAATAGCGCCCCCCCTTCCGCCGGCTCAAAGCGCGCCGCGCCGCCACCGCGTCGCCCCAGACGCGCAACCAGCGGCGCGGGGAGGCAGTCCGGAAACGCGACTAGGCAGCCGGAGAACGCGGGGAGGCAGTCGGGGACCGCGGGTAGGCGGAGTAGCAGCGGCTCGAGCAAGAGGCGGACAGGCAGGCGCAGCAGGACCCCGACTCGACCCGCGCCGCGGGCGGCTCCGCCGCCCATTCAGTTCGTGCGGCTGACGACGGCGAACAACGCGACTTGCCTGGACGGCAGGTGGGTGGCTTGTGGGTGGCGGAGAGGGTGGTTGGTGGGCGGCAGAGTGGGCGGCTGGGAGGGCGGCAGAAGTGTGTGGTGTGGACGGCGGAGTGAGCATTAACGCAGAAGCAGCAAGGATAAGCTTTGCGTTCGAGCTTGGCTGCATCAATTGATGTTTGAAGCAGCTCGTCTGTCTTGGATTTTCGACGAACTCAGAGCAAAAGAATGGGCGAATGAGAAGATGAGTCACGACTCACCTACCCCCCACCTCCCTTCCCTCACTCCCTCTTGTCTTCGTGTTCCCATCCGCCCGCAACCCCCCTTGCCCTCCTCCCCCGACCTGGCGCATTCTCACCCCCTACGGCTGGGGAACGAACAGATAGCACACCAGCCCCTCCCGTCTCCCCTTCCTCGCATCCAGCTGTCTGTCTCACCTCCCCATTCTGCCCGCATCCTCCCCCCATGCGCCCGCATCTTCGCCCCATCCGCCCGCATCTTTCCCCTATCCGCCCGCATCTTCCCCCCATCCGCCCGCATCTTTCCCCCATCCGCCCGCGTCTCCCCCCTATCCGCCTGCGCAGCCCTCCCGCGTATTACTACCGGCCTGGGTACGGACTTGGAGCGAACAAATGGCTTATATACCTTATGGTGAGTCGTGTGTCATTATATAGGTGAGCGGGGGGGGGGAAGGGGGGAAAGACGGGGGCTTGTTGCAAAACACAACTTTATTGGCGTGGAAGCGAGGATGGGAAAAACATTTGAAAAACACAAAGAGGGAAAGATACATTTGCGCATTTTTACTTCATGGGGAGTTGAAGCAAGCTGGACTGAATCACGTGAGACAGACGGAACGGGCAGAATAACCGCACAAGAGTTTCTGGAAAAAAAAAGTGATTTTATTACTCAAGTTCTTTTCTCTGGTCCCTCGTCCACCCCATTTCTCCCTTTCCTCCCCTTCCCTCCTTCCACTCCTCCTCCCCACACTTCCAATATCCTCACTCCTCGTCTCTACGGTGGTCGCTGGTGCCTCTCTCCCAGTCAGTGCAACCTACGGGCTGACAAAGACCTGGGCTCAACCAAAGGCTTGCACACACCTGGCTCCTCCTTCACGCCTTCCCACTCCTCCCCACTCCTCCCCACTCTTCCTCACCCCTTTCCACTCCTCCCCACTCCTCTGCAGGGCGGTCGCTGGTGCCTCTCCCCCAGTCAGTGCCGCCTACGGGCCGACACAGAGCTGGGGTCGACCAAGGGTTGGCCCAGGCCGGGGGATTCGGGCTTTGAAAGCAACGTGAGTGCCGTTTACTAGATGGTCAGTCAGTCAGTCAGTGAGTCAGATAGTGAGTCAGTCAGTGGGTCGGTCAGTGAGCTAGTCAAGTCAGTCAGTCAGTGAGTCAGTCGGTCAGTGAGTGAGTGAGTCAGTCAGTCGATCAGTCAGTCAGTAAGTCAGTGCCACCTACGGGCCGACACAGACCTGGGCTCAACCAACGGCTGGTCAAGTCAGTCAGTCAGTCAGTCTGTCGGTCGGTCGGTCGGTCGGTCGGTCGGTCGGTCGGTCGGTCGGTCGGTCGGTCGGTCGGTCGGTCGGTCGGTCGGCCAATCAGTCAGTCAGTCAGTCAGTCAGTCAGTCAGTCAGTCAGTCAGTCAGTCAGTCAGTCAGTCAGTCAGTCAGTCAGTCAGTCAGTCAGTCAGTCAGTCAGTCAGTCTGTCTGTATGTCTGACTGACAGACTTGACTGTCACTCTGTCAGTCAGTCTGTTAGTCAGTCAGTCAGTCAAACAATTGGTTGGTCAGTCAGTCAGTCAGTCAGTCAGTCAGTCAGTCAGTCGGTCAGTCGGTCGGTCAGTCAGTCAGTCAGTCAGTCAGTTCTCTTCTCACTGTTTCAGGGCATGCTGAGTGGCGACTCGTCGGAGATTCTGCTCTTTTACTTCTGGAACACGGTGGTTGTGCTGTATTGCGACGGGGGCATTTTTCCCCTCTCTCGATGTATACGCCTTCCCTCACCCACTCTCCCCACCCCCACCCTTCCCCCCGCCAGCTTGACAGCAAGGGGGCGGGGTTTCAGGGCATGCTGAGCGGCGATTTATCTGGGTCGTGCTGCAACTCCTGGAACATGATGGTCGTGCTGTATTGCGATGAAGGTGCATCTTTCCGCTCTCTCAATGTGTACTGTACCGAATGCATCCCCTCCCTCATTCGTCCCCCCTGCCTTTCGCCCAACCAGCTTGACAGCATGGGAGCGGGGTTTCAGGGCATGCTGAGCGGCGATTCGTCGGAAAATCCCTTCTATTCCTGGAACATGGTGGTTGTGCTGTACTGCGACGGGGGTGTTTTCGCCGGGGTGAAGGGAAAAGCCCTGTACGACCACTCTCAACCGTACTATCTCTCCGGACGACCGATTTTGAACTCGATTCTGGGAGGTGCGTGTTTCGGTTTAGATGCAGCCTATACCAAAGAATTAATCTGAGTGACCTCTGGAAAGCAGGTCAGAAATAGTGACAGCGGTATTGGGAGTTGGTTTCATGGGATTGCATTTGCAGGCCACTTTAGCAAGCAAATACATCAACCAGAGATTTCGCCACCATAGCACACATAACACGCATGGCTAACCCACCCCCAACCTCCTTTTCAGGCGGCTCAAAGCCTACCACCACCAAAACAAACCTCATATCATACGAGTTTTCTGACGTCGCTTAGTTTTTTTGTTGTTTCGAGACGAGTTTTGCGACGTCCCACAACTTTTCAGGCGCCTCAAAGCTCACCACAATAGCACCTCATACACCACCTGGACTATCCATCCCGACCTTTCCCCTTTCCCCCAAACCCACGTTTCACACCCTCTCCTTCCTCCCACACTCCACGCTAAGCCTCTTCCCCACCCTCCTCCTACCCCCCTCCCCAAACATTCCTCCTCTTTCTACTCCCAACCCCCTGTTCCCTTCCCTCAGATCTCAACAGTAAGGGTCTGCGGCAAGCGGATTCCGTCCTCCTTACAGCTGCTCCGCTGGCGCTATAGCGCACATAACACACGTATAACACACCACATGCCCTATTCACCCCCCATCCTCCCCCTCCGCCCCCCCCCCCACCAACCCCACGTTCCCTTCCCTCAGATCTCAACAACAAGGGTCTGAAGCAGGCGGATACCGTCCTCCTTACAGGCTGGTCCGTTAAGGTTATGACACATGTATAGTATCACACATATCACACACACAGCATGGCCTATATATCCTTCGTCATCCTTCCCCCTCCACCACCCGTTCCCCTCCCTCAAATCTCAACAACAAGGGTCTGAAGCAAGCGGATTCTGTCCTCCTTACAGGCTTCTCCGCTGGTGTTATGGCTCACATATAAAGTATCACACATACCACACACACAACATGACATATTCACCCTTCATCCCTCCACGTTCCCCATCCCTCAGATCTCAACAACAAGGGTCTGAAGCAAGCGAATTCCGTCCTCCTTACAGGCTGCTCCGCTGGCGCTATAGCGGTGTCGATGGCGTGTGATGCCATGGCTCAGTTCCACTTCCCTCGCACCGCCAAAGTCAAATGCCTCATGGACGCTGGCTTCTTCATGGGTATGTACACCCATAATTTTAAAAATGTATTAAGTTGTGAAGTAGTATAATATGTGTTTCTTTTAACTAACAATTTGGTGGATCAGATTGTGCTGCATCACCAGCATCTGCGTTTCCGTTTCCTCCCTTCGATTCTCTTGTTTTCTCATATCTCCCCCTGACACCTTGGAAGCTGTACAGCAGGCTGATATCAGCGGGCTGGGGGATATCAGCAGGCAGGAGGATATCAGCAGGCTGTACAGCTTCCAAAATATTGTGTAGCAAATGTCGACGCTAACACTCCCTCCCTCCCTCCCCCCCCCCCACCCTCCTTTCTCATTCTTTCCCCAGACACCCCGGACATCACCGGGCAGTACAGCTTTCGAGGCATTGTGCAGCGAATGTTTCGATTCCATTCCATGACTGCCGCTGCTGACGATGATTGTCGCACGGGTATGTTCAGGACAGGCCACTGGACTTGCAACCGTTCCCCATTTCCTTCATTGTCTCGCCGTCCACTCCACTCCACACTTGGCCAGTCTTGTTCATCCTTCATCTCACTCCTTTCCCTTTTCCTCTCTTCATTCCCTCTCTCTCTTCCATCAAATCCTTCCCTCCCCAGTAACTTCCTTCATTGTTTTCCTCATGCTCTAACTTTGTTTTGACCATTGCCCTCCGCCCATCAACAGCTTACTGGCGCAGTAAGGAGCTCTGGCGTTGCTTTTTCCCACAGTACAACCTCCAATACGTCTCTACACCCGTGTTCATTGTGCAAAGCACATATGATAAAGTTGGAGCCGGTATTTCTTTCTCCCCACCTCGACTCCCAGACAACAACACACTTGACAGGTGTATGACGCCAGGACTTAACAGGGTGTGTTCTGCACCTGTGCTACGATCCTTGGACCAGTACCGGCTTACATTACGCACAGCAATAAATGATGTCGTTGCCAGAGCTAGTGCAACTGATAGGAGCAAATCCGCTTTTATTGTGACGGATGATGCGCATTGCATGGCTGCATATCCGGACTGGAATAAGCGGGTTGGTAGGAGTGGTCTGACCCTTGCTATGGCGATTACACACTGGTGGAGAACCTCCTAACCTTAGTTCTGACATTATTCTAATGCAATAATGCTAATTCTGTATTTATATGTAAAAACGGTGTAATGGGCTGGTCGGTCTTACAAATCCGAAGCCTTGGAATCCGCCCTGATTTCAAAGTTTGTATTTGCAGGACGGTTGTGCTGGATTGAATCGCTAGAGTGTTCTGTTTCGTGCAAAGCAGTCTAAAGCAGTCTAAAGCAGCACCTTCCAAAACCACTTTAAAACATGCAAGAAGCTAATATAAACCGCCGATTTGCACCCAGCTGCGTAACACCTTTGAATGTGCCACTACGGGGTACCGGTATGTGACATGCACGTCGCTCGGTGCTTCAGCTCCTAAAAGTTTCGCATCGGGGTCACACTCGTTTCATCGTGCTAGCAAGGATACAAAGTATCGCAAATGGGTCCTCGACGTCGGTTCACTTGATGTAGGCATGGAGACTTCGAGGGGGGATGGATGGTGTGACTGTGGTGGTGGTGACTGTGGTAGCACGAATCATCACCAACTTGAAACATATCACGTCTGATGAAGGAAGGAAGCGAGATAAATGGCTTTTCACTCCCGTATGTAGGGCTTTCACTCCTCAACGCGGAGTTGTCACTCCTCCACGCTGTAGCCAAATGGCTCCTTTCGTCGCACAAGGTCGCCAGGCGACGACTCTCCTCCTTCTGCTTGCCCTCGCCGTCGCACGTTTTCCTCCACTAGGCGTGTGCGCCGCCGCGGCTGCTACCCACGACCTCGGCGAATTCCGGAGCGATGTGGACGAAAAACAGAATCAAATCTCCTTCTTGCCTCGGGAAGGTTACGCTTCCGACTCTCCCAAGGAGCGTGAACAGATATCCAAAACTCAGGAGAAACTCCAGAAGACTCCAACCGAAGCAGACGCGACGAGAAGCGGAGAGATTTGGGGAGTGGAAGGGAAGAGGGGAGGGTGGGGAAGAGTGATTCCGGACATGGCTGCCCGTGAAAGGCGGGAGGAGAAACAGAGGCTTATTGTGAAAATGGCCGAGGATGACAATGACGAAGTTGGCAATGGCGAGGGTGACAATGGCGAGGATGACAGTAGCGAGGATGACAATGGCGAGGATGATAACGGCGAGGATGACAATAGTGAGGATAAAATTGGCGAAAAAGACACTGGAGGGCTTCGTCCCAAGACCGAGATTCTCACAGTCTGCACGCCAGCAGGTGGGGGTGCCGCTTCAGACACTAAAGAGCTGTGTATTGATCATCTAATAGCAAGATTTAGATACTCACAGTCTTCACGCCCGCAGGTAAGGGTGCCGCTTCAGACTAATAGCTGGGTTTGAATCATCTAATCATCAGATTTATACTCTCGCTGTCCGCACACCAGCAGGAGAGTAGACTGCTTCAGAGTAAGCGCGTGGGTCCTCCTGAGTCGTTTGGAAACCAATTTCGAATTCTTCCAGACATCTTTTAGTCTTTTCAGTCTTACTTTTCAGAGTTTCATGCAAAATTATTGAGCTTGCGGCGTCTCAAGACTTTCTGTTAAGGAGTGATCGTTCCGTACCCAAACCCTTTCCATCACACCCCATCTCTCCCCATCCCACGCCATGTCTTTCTGTTCCTCGTGCCACTCTCATGCTGTTTGCTCCTCATCCCATCGCACCGCATTGCACCCCATTTTATCCCGTCCTTTCTGCGATCGCAGGTCATGCTCAAGTGCGCATCACCCCTGCACGCATGGGGCAGACATGGAGAGGAGGGGGGACCGATGAGTGCATAAATCGTTCTCAACCGCATCCCACCGCACTGCACCCCATTTTATCCCTTCTTTTCTGCGATCCCAGGTCATGCTCAAGTGCGCATCACCCCTGCGACATGGAGAGGAGGGGGCACCGATGAGTGCATAAATCGTTCTCAACCGCATCCCACCGCACTGCACCCCATTTTATCCCTTCTTTTCTGCGATCCCAGGGCATGCTCAAGTGCGCATCACCCCTGCACGCACGGGGCAGACATGGAGAGGATGGGGCACTTCGTTGGGATGGTGCGAACCTAGGATGGGTTTGGTATGGTGATGAGCGGTGGAGGGGTTTTGTTTGTGTGATTCCAAAGGGGGGTGGGGGGCGGGGAGATGTTGGGAGAAATGGGTGGTTGGGAGTTTGGTTTGTTGCGTTACACTCTCAACTCAAGCGGTCCGTGCATTAGATCCGAGCAAGGTACAGACATGTGCAAGGACACTCTCCCTCTCAAGTACAGACATGTGCAAAGACACTCTCCCTCTCAAGTACAGACATGTGCAAAGACACTCTCCCTCTCAAGTACAGACATGTGCAAAGACACTCTCCCTCTCAAGTACAGACATGTGCAAAGACACTCTCCCTCTCAAGTACAGACATGTGCAAGGACACTCTCCCTCTCAAGTACAGACATGTGCAAAGACACTCTCCCTCTCAAGTACAGACATGTGCAAAGACACTCTCCCTCTCAAGTACAGACATGTGCAAAGACACTCTCCCTCTCAAGTACAGACATGTGCAAGGACACTCTCCCTCTCAAGTACAGACATGTGCAAAGACACTCTCCCTCTCAAGTACAGACATGTGCAAAGACACTCTCCCTCTCAAGTACAGACATGTGCAAAGACACTCTCCCTCTCAAGTACAAACATGTGCAAAGACACTCTCCCTCTCAAGTACAAACATGTGCAAAGACACTCTCCCTCTCAAGTAACCCCCAGGTTTGCCAACTGCCTAGATGAGCTTTTTTTTTTTCCATCCACTGTCTTTTGCCCCCTTCCCTCTTCTCTTTTGCTTGTCCCCTTCCCTCCTCTCTGTATTCTGTCCCCTTCTCCCCCCTTCCTCCCCATCCTCCCACATTACCTCCACCCTTTCCTTTCCTTTCCTTTCCTTTCCTTTCCTTGTGCATTGAGGTTGTTTTTTGAGGCGCCTCAAGAACTTCTTCCCCATCCTCCTACATTACCTCCACCCTTTCCTTTCTTTTCCCCCACCCCCCAGTCTCCCACTTCCGCAGACCACTTCGGCTAGTTCCCATCAGACCAGCCCAGTTTCATCCCCCCACCAGCCTTGGGTTCACCCCTAAATCCTTTTTTGAGGCGCCTCAAAAGTTGTCTCCCGCTTCCGCAGACCTCTTCGGCTAGTTCCCATCAGACCAGCCCAGTTTCATCCCCCCACCAGCCTTGGGTTCACCCCTAAATCCCTCTTGGTTGTCCGCACCACTGTCTATCCCCATTCACCGCATTCAACCCCCCCCCCCCCCCCCCAATCCCCCAGGTTCGCAAACTACATAGGCAAGCTCCCAGCACACCAGCTCAAGTTCCTCCTCGACCTGCTCTTCCGTCCCTCCATCGGCCTCGGCTTGAACCTTGTAGTACCACCTGGTTGTCCATCCCCACTCACCGCATCCAACCTCCTCTCTGCCTCTTTCCACCCCTCTCCACCGCATTCAACCCCCTAGGTTCGCAAACTACATTGGCAAGCTCCCAGCACACCAGCTCAAGTTCCTCCTCGACCTGCTCTTCCATCCCTCTATCGGCCTTGGGTTGAACCTCGCCCGATACCTTATCGGGGGCAGCTTCAACCCCCTCCTCAGCCCCCAGTTCCTAACAGAAGCCTGCGAAGCCATGGCGATTCCTGGTTACCGCGTAACCGTGTCCGGGCCATACGACTGGTCGGCGGATTGGCGGCAGCGGAAGGTATTGGCTGGAGCGATCGATCGGGGAGTGGAGGAGGTAGAGGCAGTGGCGTACTCTCCCCCTTGGTGGATGACTGTCAGTGGGGACACTGCGGGGCTAAGTACCGGTAAGAGTAACTTAAAAAGAGGGTATTACTTAGCGTACGCGGGGTATTTAGCGGATGTGGTCGCACATTTCCGGGAGGAGTGGAATGTGACTTTCTCGACGCTGAATCCGGCCAATGAGGCGCTAGAGGGGTGGTGGGTGCGCGGTAACCGGCAGGAGGGGTGTAACTTTAACGGCACGGAGCTCAATAAGCTTATAGCGCATGTGGTGGGGACGCTTAAAAGGAGACGGTTGTTCGACCGGACAGGAGTCGCTGGTTTCGATAGTTTTGCTGGGCGCACCTTTCAAAACTGGGAGGAGTTTTCGCCGTTAGTCAAATCCTCACTGACCCGAATCAATGTGCATGGGTACGTGTCTCCCCCGGAAAACGGCACAAACGCACGTGATTATATCGAAGGCAAGTTCGGTCCCTTGCGGGAACAAGCAGAGGCCCTGGGGAAGGAGGTGTGGGTGTCGGAAATGGGCCCTCTCTTTGTAACCGGCGACGACATGGCGGTAACCGCATTCATCGCGAGGTGTATTATTCAGTCGGTGAATATTCTGGGAGCTTCAGCTTGGATTTTCTGGCAAGCAGTCAATAAGGAGGATCAGAAGGACCCATCTGCACTCAATTGGGGCCTCTTTGTTATCCCATACAACCGAATCCACGACTCCTCCGCTCCTCCGTTACAAGTTACGTTTTCGAAAAAATACTACATGTTATGGCAATTTATTCGAGGGGCACCCAAGGGGAGTTTCCCCTTGAAAATCGACTCATCGGAGGGGTGTCATCATTCCATAGCTGCCTTTTTCCATCCTGGGCAGCACCTACTGTCAGTATTCATCGTGAATCAAGACTTGGCAGATTACAACGTTACTGTTTCTATATCCTCGTTTGGAGTGTACAACGAGGCTCTCCCGACTTCTTTTGAGGTGTACAGGACGACTTATACAGAGTCAGGGAGCCGTGTTTTGTCAGAAAACCATGAAGCTGTGCCTCCATCCCTGCTGGTTGTAGCACCGGGAAGCAGTGTAACATCTGTACTGATCTCTAATGTGATTGCTCTTAACAGGTTTGGAGTTCTATAGGTTATGGTCATGTGTTCTGGCACCAAGAAGCAGCGTAACATCTATACTGATGTCTAATGTGGTTGCTCTGTATGTTTTTTAAAGCTTAGAAGTACAGTATCAGTCATGTTGTAGTAGCACCAGGCAGCAGTGAAACGGTGTTACATCTGTATATCTCCAATGTACGGTAATGGCTCGTTTGAGTGTCTACGAGAGTGTGGTATCCTTGTGAACTTCTACATTAGAAGTTTGTGTGCGTGAGTGCATGCATGGGTACGCATGTGGTTGCATGTGGTTGCATGTGTGTGCCTGTGTGACCTGACTCTTGACTTGACCAACAAATTCACTGCTCTCAAGGTGAAATGCCGAAACAAAACAATAAGAATATATAGTACAAATACTATCACAAATCAGACAAAACAGCTGGATGAAAACACTACACCTTACTATCTACGCCTGTGCAGGCGCGCAGCAACAGCTGCACCATAGTACCACTCGCTAATAGCCCAAGGCAGGTTCTTACCAGGCCACTGGGGCGAAACTACACTTTGCCACCCAGGATCCCCCAGCATACAATGTGATTTTGTTTGATAAACAAACGAAGTAAATGCCGCTCCTCGTCGCTTCGCATTGTCCACCACGGTCCGCACTGTAGTCATAACCCGGGTTGCGTAACTGCCGATTTCGCTTCGTTGTTCCGGAGTACACTCGTTTAATCCCGCAGAATAGTAGCAGTGCATGAGCGGGTGTGTAATGGGTTTACTTGTCCCGACAAGAGTCATCGCTATAGCCTTGTGGTCGATGTTGCTATTGAGGATGAATGTAGGAGTGCTGACAAAATGCAGGTTGTACTCGGGGAAGGTACACTTCCATGACTGCTTTGTTCCTCTGAAAGCTGTTAATAAAGGGGACAGGAGAGAGGGATGGGGAGGGTGGAAGAGGAAGGGGGTTGGAGAAATGCAAAGCAAGGGTATAACAAGAAAAATCAAGGGTGCCACACATCATACTATCACACATCATACTATCACACATAATTATATCACACCCACATGTTCTGTCCCTCACCAGCAACCCTGGCCATAGCTGGATCCTCTGTGAGTCACACGGGCACCGGCACCTATCCATATCACACTCAAACAATCACACACGCATACAGTCACTCTCACATACTCTCTCACTCACCAGCAGCGCAGCCCTGGTCACAGCTGGATTGCAGATCTGCTGTCGATGCCAGCTACCCCATTCCTCTGACCCATACAGTAACATATAATACAATCACACCTGCATACTCTCTCACTCACCAGCAGCGCAGCCCTGGTCATAGCTGGATCGTGCAAGATTTGCTGTTGACGCCAGCTGGCGCAACCACACACGTACAGACGCACACATACAGTCACACACGTACAGTCACAAACACGCCATATTATTACACATATCACACGCACCAGCAGCGCAGCCCACGTCGTAGCTGGATTGCGCGAGATTTGCCGTCGACGCCAGCTGGCTCATCCGACGGCGAAACGCGTACGCGCCACGTACGGTGGGGATGTCTGGAGTAGGGAGGTGAGGTGAGGCGAGAAGGGGGAGAAGGGGCACAAGGATGGGAAAAACACATGTGAGGGAGAGACTGGGGGGACGGCGGAAGTCGTACAATCCCCTCCCTTACAATCACACACCCACTTTACAAGCCCACCTTATAACCTAGTGGAACCGAATGCAATCCATCCTTACCCATGAAGAATCCAGCGTCCATGAGACACCGGGTTTTGGCTCCGTACTGAGCCATCCATTTGGCAACACCATCACACACCATGCTGACCCCTTGCCCCCCCGCGCTACAGCCGGTCAGCAGCACGTCTGTAGCCTGTCCCAGCCTTTGCTTCGCTAAAAGCTCCTCCACTATCCCTATAAGGTTCCACCGCCCTTCCATGTAGACTGGTGGCTTGTTGCTGTTGGCGTTACGCGATTGCACGGCGCCGCGGCTACCAGCGAAAGCAGCACCATCGCAGTATTTGAAAATGACAAAGTTCCAGTTGTGGAAACCTGGGTTGACCTGCAGGTAATAAAAACAGAGGAGTTGACGCATGATAAGGTCAAATGGGAATAGTTCTAGTTAACGGTGATACTTAGGAAAAGTTCCAGCTCTTGCAGTTATAACAATGGCAATTGACAACTTTCAACACTTAATGTTACCATCACATATCCAGATTGCTACTGATGCTGTACCTATGTAGCGTTGAGTTGGTGAAGTTCATTAGTTGTGATAACACCCATATCAGTGTCTACCTGCTCACGTATGTCTGTGTTTGTCTATACCGTTTTTAACCTTAAGCGTACCGTACTAACCAAACAGGCTGTTATGTTACCTTGATGTCGCTACTCGCGATTCCGCCCAAGTCAATGTCTATCTGAGGGATTGAACATCGAGGCGCGAAAAGGGGAGGAGGCAGATTGATTGGGGCGGTGAGGGAGGATAGAAAAATCTCGTAAGACAGCTTTGTGGTACAGCCTAGCACGCGCTAAAAGGTGGCGCGATACAAGAGTACTCTACATCCTCTTCTCAAGAGGAGGCTGAAAGAAAAGAAGAGGGAACAAAAACGATGCGGGAAAGCTGAGAGCATGATATATCAGTGTCACTTTTGTGATTTTTTTGAGAGTTCTAAAGAAACATACGCTACTTCAGAGTCACTTTTGTGAATTCTGAAAAGTGATGTGCGAAGCTGAGAGCAAGACCGATAGTGGAAATTCGGGCATGAGATGGAAAAGAGGGGGAAGTGATGGGACGGGAAGCCTTGTGGGGAGGATATTGGAGGGTTGGGACTGGGAAAAATGAGGGAACTAGCGAGGAAGGGAGGGGAACGGAAAGCTGTGTAGGGAGTGAAAGGTGGTTGAGACACTGGGACATGAGGGGAAATGGGGAGGGAGAGCGGGAGGAATGGGGAGGGAGAGATGAAATGGGTAGGGAGAGCGGGAGGGAATGGGGAGGAAGAGATGAGATGGGTAGGGAGAGAGGAGATGGGAAGGGAGAGCGGGAGGAATGGGGAGGGAGAGAAGAGATGGGTAGGGAGAGAGGAGATGGGGAGGGAGAGCTGGAGGAATGGGGAGGGAGAGAGGAGATGGGGAGGGAGAGAGGAGATGGGGAGGGAGAGCTGGAGGAATGGGGAGGGAGAGAGATGGGGAGGGAGAGCTGGAGGGAATGGGAGGGAGAGAGGGAGGGTATGGGGAGGGAGGGAGGAAGAGAGAGAGGTGATGGGAAGGGAGAGATGGAGCGAATGAGGAGAGAAAGAAGGGGAGAAATGGGGAGGGAGACGAGGAGGAAATGGGGAGAGGGAGAGGGAGGGAATGGGGGGCTGGAGGGAGGGGGGGAATGGGGAGAGGGAGGGAAAGGGAATGGGGAGGGAGGGAGGGAGGGAATGGGGAGAGGGAGAGAGAGGGAATGGGGATGGAGAGAGGGACGGAATGGGGGGAGAGAGAGAGGGAGGGAATGGGAAGAGAGAGGAGGAAATCCGGAGGGGGAGGGAGCGAACGGGTGACGCGAGAGATGGTACCAGAGGGGTCTGAAGGAGAGTGATTGTACCGATTGGTTGTAGTAACGGGAGGACCCGAGCATAGTCTTGGACCGAACGGCGCACTGCTTGATACTGAAGCACCAGCCTCCGCCCTGGGACACAAACGAGTGGGACACAAACGGGTGGGATTTAAATAAGGATGAAGCTTGATGGATCCCGCACAATCCAGCACAAGAACATTCGCCAGAGTTCATACGACGCGAAATGTTTTCCAAATGTACAGATTGACATTCTACTGTGCTGCTTACCTCGAGATAAAATATCCACTTGTTCAATCCTGTACCGTAGCCGTTTCGGATGACAAAAGCGGGAGAGCTGCAATAACGCGGATCGCAAGAACGTTGGGGAGAGGTGCAGGGCACCAGAGTAGACAAGGAGAAAGGGAGAGGGATGGTTACGACCGCAGCCGTATCGGATGATAAAAGCGGGGGAGCTGCAATAACGCGGATCGCAAGAACGTTGGGGAGCAGACAAGGAAAAGGGGGGAAAGAGATGCGTAGTGATGCGTAAGTCAAGGAAATGGAAAGAATGGCGGTTAGAGACGTCGTTTTTTTGGCGCCTCAAAACTAGGCTATGTTGATTAACAATTTGACTGGGATAGAAACATATCCAGAGCAGAGAGGGAGGCATGGCGGAACGGGGAGGACGTTTTAGAGTCGACTCAAAAACCAACTAAAAAACTTGAGTCGACTCAAAAACAGAGAGGGAGGCATAGCGACACGGCGGGAGGGTTGAAAGGAAGGGACGAATCGGCGGCACGTGCCATTCCCCCCTTTCGAACATCAAATGCAGAAAGCAGGGGAACGTGGAATGGAGGGAGAATTGGAGAGGGAGGAGATTGCGCAGCTTGCGGCATCTCCTTTTTGGCATGACAATCATCGAGCCAAGCGACGCAACCCAAGGCCAGCATTCTGTCAGTGAGACACCACTCACCTGCAGTCCACTAATCGGGTTTCGAGTCGTCTTAAAACTCGCCAGCATTCTGTCAGTGAGTCACCACTCACTGGCCGTCCCACGCATCGGCCTCGTCGGCTCGAAGCTAAGCAGCCGAGGCACGGACCAGCAGCCACGAAACCACAACCCAGCCCCCGGCAGTGAGTGAATCACCTCAGCCCAACATCCCAGCCTCAGTTACTCAGTAAATTACCTGCCGTCCAAGCATCGGCCTCGTTTCGTCGCGCGCAGAGTCATCCGCCCTTACCCAAGCAGCCACCCAACGGCCACCCAACGACCCAGCATCCATGGAGCATTATCCAGTCTCAGTTACTCAGTAAATTACCTGCCGTCCAAGCATCGGCCTCGTTTCGTTGCGTCGAGTGTCACCAGTCTCGGCTTCCCCACCCACGGGAAAAGCGGATCCTCCGCAGCTCTCTTCCTGCCCGTTTTTCTGCCCGTTTTCTTGCCCGTTTTGCTGCCCGGTTTGTTGGACTTCGCGTGCGGTTTGTGCTTCCCCGCGCCCCGACCCCGCCTCCGCGTTTGCGCGCCTTTCTCTGCCCCTGTAGTTCCGCGCACGCCCCGCGGGGTTAGCCCATCCGCGGGACTCCGCCCCTTCATCTGACTCCCTGCTGTTGCGATGCCTGTCAGCGACGAAATCCGACGGCCCCCAAACGCCACCGGCCCTCCTTCCTCAGTCTCCGCACTCCCCACCACCTCCGCGGATGCTGGTCCCGCGCGTCCCGCTACCTGCGCCTGCCGCGGTGCTGCTCCGCCAACGCCTTCCGCCGATGCGTCACCGCCCGCCAGAGCGCGACTGGTGGGGCGGCCTTGGAACGTCAGCAAATCGGCATCACTGGGTGACCGAGAATGTATTGTGGCGACAGAGACGTTCTGACCGACAGCTGCGCGAGTGGAGCAGCTGGCGACGAGAAAAAGAGATATGAACGCGAGCATCTTGCTCCCTCTCAACATGATGATGAGCAACGCGTTGACTCGACTTGTCAACCGCATTCTGTTCAATTTGTCGTTCGAGACGACTCTAAAGCCACCAGTTCATAACATCAGCTAAGGCGAGGTTTTGCGCGTGGCCCGTGCTTGGAAAGAGGATTCACCACTAGTAGAACTGAGCTCTTGTGTTATCCGACCTTGTTTGGACCAGGTCACTACTAGAACTGACACGACTGATTTCGTAGGTTCTCCGAGCGATCTCGGAGCAAGTCACGAGTAGATATGAGGTAAACTCGTATAATGTCACGACTATGGAGACCTTGTCGTAGAAACCTCGAGTTCCACCCTAGTATCGGAGCTCGCGAGAGGGCTAAAGCACCACTCAATATCTCGCTTGCAGGAATGACGTACTAGCTCGCACAAGTTGGCACTGAGCCCTTCTGGTTTTTTTTTTTTGTCAGTACCGAAGTTCGTTTCAAATTCTATTCACGCGAGTCCTCGTCTGCATTGACTCTGGACAATTTACCACACAAAGAGGAGGTTTGAGCGGTATCAATAGCGCGCACACTCAAGAATCCACCTGGTGGCACTGAAAATAACCCTGAGTATAGTGGCAGGAAGAAACTATTTCAGCTTGGTCGTCGAGAGGAAATAAGCTATATGAGCACTAAAGGTACATCGCCATGGCCAATCATGGCCTAGACGATGACACGAGAACTCATCTTGAGTCTCGCTCGAGTCGACTAGAACTCCATATCGACCGGAACTTTATGTACTAAGCACGGCAGACCTGCGCGCGTAGCGTATGGCCGCCTGGGTGAGAACAGGACAAGGGCAGGCAGGAGCCACTTGCTGTGCGCGACTCGGCGGAGCCCGTGGAAGGCGGAGCGTTGTCAGGGGAGATCCTGGTCATGGGAGATATATGTGGTGCCGGGGAATGGTACAATGTGTCTCGTATTCGTCGGAAAATGGCTTGATGTGGAGTGGACGTTCTGCGGTGCGGGATGGGGCAAGATGAGGACAAGGGGGGAGGCAGACAACAGAACATGGGTAGGGAGAACATCAGATGTGCAGCTGGTGCTCTGTCAAGGATGTTGGGTTTGGTGACATACCAAACATCCTCGTTGCGGAGGTCAGAAGGGGAATGGACCTTCACTGAATCGAAATTCGTGATGGTGACGAGTTATAGCGGTGCTACACGGTTCCGATCGGTTCAGTAAGTAGGCGTTGGGAATGTCGGATGCTGGCTCACTGGAACGAACCGCATCGTTTTTAAGGGATGGTACATTTTTCATTTTTTTTCGTCCGGACGGCTGGCCGTCCATCACGTTGTCGATTTGGAGGTTAATTTCTGTTTCGAATGGCAACCTCGTTGAAAGGCTGGAAGGTGAGGAGAGGAGTATTTGCAGGATGAATTCGCGACCACGATCCGAGGATGTACGCAGTGTGGCGTCTCGGGGGAAATGTTTGGCGCGGTGCGGCGCGGACGAAACATTTCCGCCCAGATTCGTGCTGGTCGTGCTGTGCCCGTCTGTACAGCATTTCAAAGGACACTCTCTATATTGCGTTAGAAAAATACCAAAATTATTTTGTTTGCCCATATTTTCTCCCCTCTCATAGTCAGCTGGTTCTTGTGTAGGCACGATTGCTATTTTGCGTGAGGGGGGCGTTTTCCTCTGACCAGGTCATCTCACCTTGTAGAAAAAGATAAGGTACGGCCAAATCACAGATGATACGCGTCATTAGCGTCTCCTTCTTTGTCAGCTGGTCGGGCTTTTACGGCCTCTGTCTTAGGAACCAGAAGTCGACATCCGTTCTGACGTGGATTCTTGAGGTGTACATGTGGAAAAGTGTTCCAACTTTGGAACGGGCCAAGGGCTGGATTCATGTTATCGTGGCGTTTCATACAGTGCGCTTTTGTGAGATTTTGTGCGGCTCAGATAGGTTTGATTTACATTTCAAGGTGCACACCCTCCATTTCACCATCACCAACCTATCGTCACTCACAGAAGCAGTCAACCCTATCCTTCACCTTTCATTTCACCCCATTCCATCCTCTACCGCTCCATTACCAAATCGAGGAGTAACGCTTCTCGTGCCTTTCACGCTGAAATGGCTGCCGCTAGTAGCTTGTCGTCCACTGCGCGGCCCCTTTCGAGTTTAGCATGGCTTGGTGGGATGTCCGGCGGTCGCCGCGAACTCAAAGTAGCGGCATCATCATCACATTGCGTGAAATTTCGCGAGCTAAATGCTCACTCCGTGCTCACCGTGCGATCTCAGGCGGAAAGGGCGGACAGTAGCGTGTCGTCGCAGACGGTTTCCACGAATGCAACCGTCGCGCTGGAATCGTCTGGTAACCACTCCCGACGAACGGTTCTTCTCGGAGCTGCTACAATAGCCGCTGCCGCTGTTGTCACAGCAGGGATGCCCTGGGTTCACCCGCCTGAAGCTCTCGCAGTACGTCAATTATCGAACGTTATTTTTTAAAGTAACTAAAAAATCACCTCCATCTAATGTCACGCAAACGCGGTTGTCACAGCGGGGATTCCCTGAGTTCAACCGCCTGAAGCTCTCGCAGTAAGTTGAAATTTGAGCCATGCCATCCTGACGCCGCATACTAACCATATCGAATCTGAACCGTGTCACCCCTCCGCCGCATTGTAACGACGTCCCATTAGGGCGTGTCACATCGCCAACCATTTGCGAAAATGGCTTTTGGCCGAATTTCCGTCGACCATATGGTCGTCATTTACTTTCGCGAAAGTCGATGGATTGGTCGACAAAGTTTCGACCACGATTTGCAGTTTTGCAGATGTGACAACTTTGATGGCCGATTTGCTGGCTGTTGTATCAAAGTTGTCACATTTGCACGTGCTACAGTAGCCGGAGATGTGCGATGAGGTCGCAAATATGACGGCGATGATTCTCATTGGCCGTGCGATACCCTGCGACGTCGCAGGTGATGGTCGCTGATCCTGTCGACTAGTTGGCTGGATTGGAGTCGACACGGTGTTCGGTTTAGTTTCGGCCCGTTCAAACGGCCCTCAAATTCGCAAATTTTAGATACAAATAATGACGGTCGCCAGGATTTTGACGAGCGTCGTTATGTGGTTACCTTCGCCAACAACGGCCAGACGGATTTCCCAAAAATTGTGAGTTTGGCGATGTGACACGCCCTTATGACCGTGCGATGCCTAAGCTGCTTCCTAGGAGCCGCTTCTGCTATTGTAACTCGAGAGCCCTAGTAGAGACCGTCTTGCGTTGTGCTCTTTATGTCTCCATCCTATCCCGTCCTCTTCTCTTCGCAATTCCGTCCAATCTCTTCACAATTCTTTCTTCACCTTCTGCGCATGATGTCATGTGAGTGTTCTTCTTTACTCAGTGATACATGTTAAGCATTACAGTGTTGCTACACCTCCAAATTCACCTCCACCTCCTTCTCCTCCTCCCTAACTCCACCCCTCCCTTACCCTCTTGTGCCTACTCAAGGTGGTTACAGTGGCTCTTAAAGACCTGACCTACCGCCCTTGTGCCAACCCCTACACGGTTGGGCCCGGATCTTCCCTATACAAGGCCAAGTGCTTCTTGATTATGGGCACTACAGTGAACAAATCAGGACGGCCTGTCTATAACGCGGATGTATTCGGGTTTGTCCTGGATGCATATGACGAACCTGCAATTCCAAACAGGGGGAGACTGGCAAGCATCAAAGAGATACCTGTGGTGAGTTGTACAGAAGAAACTTTATTGTGTTTGAGTGAGCAAGAGGGTGACTCCTGTGCCCGCCGCACTAAACCCTCGTCTGGTGCTGTTTCTGTTACTTCATTTTCAGTGTCTCACTATAAGCCTAGTGTCGTTCTTGTGCCATGCAGGGAGAAGGGACGTTTGAGATTGAGATTGTGGTGCCAGCAAGCGAGTCTCTTCCATTGACACTGAAGAACTTCAGAGCTACTGGGTTTCATGGAGGTGTCCAAAGAACAGGCAACCCTTACGACATTTTTGAGGAGGATAAAAATGGGGATGATGATGACATCCCATTCTAAGGTGACTTCCAGTTATTACGAACTGTCACTCATAGCTTGTTTGCCCTCGTAAAGGATGTAAGATGAAATGTGAATATTTGACAGCAGAGATTACGAATGCATCAGAGGAGAAAAAAAAATATTTGCGACATCGAGTAGCTGTTGTGTTCCTTTTGTTTTACCAGAAGTCAAGCTGGCAAATCCACGATAACAAAAGTTCGCTTAATTCTACATACACGTTAGCTACGTGTAAGGAAAAATCCTTTTCCTTACTTCGCATCCCTACTCAACGCGTACATCATTGTAGCACCACAGTCAACACCGTTACCACTCGCAATCCTCGCATCCACAATCCGTCCGCCACCTTCGCACGTCGCACCCCGACCTCACGGCTCGGCGGGTAACCCGCACTACAGGCCTCCGCTTCGACACTTTCCCAACCTCAGTCCCAGGCCCGTCGCGCAACAACCACAGTCCATTACCGTTACCACTGTAGTTTCGCTATATATTCTTCGCTTATTCCTTCGCTCATAGTACTCTTGCTTCGGTAGTGCAATTCTCGTTCGTTCACTCAATTGGACTCGTAACACTTGGTATTCAGAGCCTACGATCTCCTCTCGGACCGCACCCACACATTCGCTTCCCCACTATCTCAATTTTTGGGGGGGTAGACGTCCCTCAGCGACACAGCACCGCCGCTCGTAGTACTCTCTTGTAAGCACGCACGGCCACGACCGAGGCTCTCGCTGAGCTCGCTCGACACCCCCGCCATGGCCGAATTCACGCTCGCCATATTGACGCAGGAGCAGCTTGACCGTCTGGTGCGCCAACTTGAAGATTCAGCGCTCGAAATTGCGACGCTCACGGCGGAACGCGACTCTGCACGCCAGCAATCCACGGTGAACATTCTAGCGCCACCACACGCACCGACAAATGCATCTGCGGAATCGGACAAGCCGATCGTCATTTCTTCCGGCACACCAACGCAACACGACAGCATGGGACAACGCTCAGGCGCAGCCAGTGACGGCGCCGCCCAGC